CCCAGGTGTGGTACCCCTGGTGTGGTACCCCTGGTGTGGCACCCCAGGTGTGGTACCCCAGGTGTGGCACACCTGATGTGGTACCCCTGGTGTGGTACCCCTGGTGTGGTACCCCTGGTGTGGCACCCCTGGTGTGGTACCCCAGGTGTGGCACCCCAGGTGTGGTACCCCTGGTGTGGTACCCCTGGTGTGGCACCCCAGGTGTGGTACCCCAGGTGTGGCACCCCTGGTGTGGTACCCCTGGTGTGGTACCCCTGGTGTGGTACCCCTGGTGTGGCACCCCTGGTGTGGTACCCCAGGTGTGGTACCCCTGGTGTGGTACCCCTGGTGTGGTACCCCTGGTGTGGCACCCCTGGTGTGGTACCCCAGGTGTAGCACCCCTGGTGTGGTACCCCTGGTGTGGTACCCCAGGTATGGTACCCCTGGTGTGGTACCCCTGGTGTGGTACCCCTGGTGTGGCACCCCCGGTGTGGCACCCCTGGTGTTGTACCCCTGGTGTGGCACCCCTGGTGTGGCACCCCAGGTGTGGTACCCCAGGTGTGGTACCCATGTTGTGGTACCCCAGGTGTGGCACCCCTGGTGTGGTACCCCTGGTGTGGCACCCCAGGTGTGGCACCCCTGGTGTGGTACCCCTGGTGTGGTACCCCTGGTGTGGTACCCCAGGTGTGGCACCCCTGGTGTGGTTCCCCAGGTGTGGCACCCCTGGTGTGGTACTGGTCAGGTTATCGTACACACCTGGACACCAGCTGGCGCCAGTCCTCCTTGCACACCACTGACAGACTTTGACTTGTGTGTGTATTTGACTGTTGTAGTTGTGGGTGTGGAGGAGGGGGGGGGGTACTGGTTGGAGTGGGTGTGTGGGTCGGGGAGTTCATGCTGAGGTGAATGTGGGGCAGTTGGCCAGGATAGTGAGAGTGTGGGGGGGGGGGTCTGGGCTGGTGTTGGGGTCTGGGCTGGTGTGGGGGTAGGCGCGCGCATCACCACGTTGACTCACAGGGCCACTCCTTTTTCTGTACACAGAAGGGGAAGGAGGGAGGAGAAGGGGGGATGACTCACACTATCCTACGTCTGCTCGTGATTAACATTTCCTTGTTGGTTAAGAGTGACCTTGTCAGTAGTAAACCGTACAGGCCTTGAGGGCTATCCTTCCCACCAGACACATACTCGTGCCACCCACAATGTCTCACTAATGTGTCATGTGTCGTTCATGAAACTGGTGACACCGTCCCCCCTCGTCTCTTATCCCACCGGAGCCTTAGTAACTCCTCAAATTCGAGGACTGTGGTTGACCCGGCCGTGTCCGTGGTTGACCCGGCCGTGTCCGTGGTTGACCCGGCCGTGTCAATATATATATATATATATATATATATATATATATATATGTCGTACCTAGTAGCCAGAACGCACTTCTCGGCCTACTATTCAAGGCCCGATTTGCCTAATAAGCCAAGTTTTCCTGAATTATTATATTTTCTCTAATTTTTTTCTTATGAGATGATAAAGCTTCCCATTTCATTACGAATGAGATCAATTTTTTTTTATTGGACTTAAAATTAACGAAGATATATGACCGAACCTAACCAACCCTACCTAACCTAACCTATCTTTATAGGTTAGGTTAGGTTTGGTAGCCGAAAAAGTTAGGTTAGGTTAGATTAGGTAGGTTAGGTAGTCGAAAAACAATTCATGAAAACTTGGCTTATTAGGCAAATTGGGCATTGCATAGTAGACATAGAAGTGCGTTCTGGCTACTAGGTACGACATATATATAGGTTATATATATATATATAAATATGTCGTACCTAGTAGCCAGAACTCACTTCTCAGCCTACTATTCAAGGCCCGATTTGCCTAATAAGCCAAGTTTTCCTGAATTAATATATTTACTATAATTTTTTTCTTATGAAATGATAAAGCAACCCTTTTCTCTATGTATGAGGTCAATTTTTTTTTATTGGAGTTAAAATTAACGTAGATATATGACCGAACCTAACCAACCCTACCTAACCTAACCTAACCTATATTTATAGGTAAGGTTAGGTTAGGTAGCCAAAAAAAGCTAGGTTAGGTTAGGTAGGTTAGGTAGACGAAAAAACATGAATTCATGAAAACTTGGCTTATTAGGCAAATCGGGCCTTGAATAGTAGGCTGAGAAGTGCGTTCTGGCTATTAGGTACGACATATATATATATATATATATATATATATATATATATATATATATATATATATATATATATATATATATATATATATATATGTCGTACCTAATAGCCAGAACGCACTTCTCAGCCTACTATTCAAGGCCCGATTTGCCTAATAAGCCAAGTTTTCATGAATTCATGTTTTTTCGTCTACCTAACCTACCTAACCTAACCTAACCTAGCTTTTTTTGGCTACCTAACCTAACCTTACCTATAAATATAGGTTAGGTTAGGTTAGGTAGGGTTGGTTAGGTTCGGTCATATATCTACGTTAATTTTAACTCCAATAAAAAAAATTGACCTCATACATAGAGAAAAGGGTTGCTTTATCATTTCATAAGAAAAAAATTATAGTAAATATATTAATTCAGGAAAACTTGGCTTATTAGGCAAATCGGGCCTTGAATAGTAGGCTGAGAAGTGAGTTCTGGCTACTAGGTACGACATATTTATATATATATATATAACCTATATATATGTCGTACCTAGTAGCCAGAACGCACTTCTATGTCTACTATGCAATGCCCAATTTGCCTAATAAGCCACGTTTTCATGAATTAATTGTTTTTCGACTACCTAACCCACCTAACCTAACCTAACCTAACTTTTTCGGCTACCTAACCTAACCTAACCTATAAAGATAGGTTAGGTTAGGTAGGGTTGGTTAGGTTTGGTCATATATCTACGTTAATTTTAACTCCAATAAAAATAAATTGACCTCATACATCAAGAAATGGGTAGCTTTATCATTTCATAAGAAAAAAATTTGAGAAAATATATTGATTCAGGAAAACTTGGCTTATTAGGCAAATCGGGCCTTGCATAGTAGGCTGAAAAGTGCGTTCTGGCTACTAGGTACGACATTATATATATATATATATATATATATATATATATATATATATATATATATATATATATATATATATATATATATATATATATATATATATATATATATAATTTATATTGAATGACCAAAAGGGCAAGATTAATAATTCTAACACGAATCTTCTCCATATTTCTTACGTTTTTCGTCACTGTTGGGAGTAATTGAAAAATTAACTCTCCAAAATTCATTCTTTATTTCTGGTCTGACGCCTGAACGAGTTTCGTCATGCTTATTACATTTTCAAAGACTTTTTGCCCATTTGTCTCCGCCTCCACCGGGGATCGAACCCGGAACCTCAGGACTACGAATCTGAAGCGCTGTTCACCCAACTGTCAGACCCCTAAATAGTCACGGGCCTGTCCGGGAGTTGAACCCGGGACCTCTCGCACCCGAAGCGAGAATCATACCCCTAGATCAACAGGCCAACAGAACACGAAACAATGGGTATGAAAACATAAGAATGGAAGTAACTGCAGAAGGCCTATTGGCCCATTTCTCCTCTCGCTGCTTCAATGTTGGTTCGGGGTCTTGAAGTGGGTAGAATATAGTTGTGCTTTAATTGGCTGTTGAATTAGGTTGAAATAGCTTAAGCAATATACTCTTTTCTTTTGAGATGTACTTTAACTTACTAAAGTGGCTGACAAAGATCCGAGTCTGCGATAAATAAAGATATTACGCGTGTATGTATGATCGCCTCCAGGAAAAGCTTATCTTAAAGATAAGCCAGAGAATATAGCTTCCCTGAAACTTAAGAGAACCTTTGAAGGAAATTAATCTCTTGAGCCCTTGACCTCACTTCTGGAGCTATTTTAGCGATCACTTACGTCAGTTCCCAGACTCGCGGGAAGATTAGCTTGCCGACGAGGCCTCGAGCCCTTCCCTCTTTATCATTCTCCTTCCCTTCCTCCCTTCTTCACTTATACCCTCCTTCACACCCTCCCTCATCCCCATCTTCACAGCCTTCCTCACTCTCTTCCCAATACCTTCCCCTCACACCCTAAGTCATATGAATCCACTAGTTTATCCTCCCCCTCACACTTTCCTGCACACTCTCCCTCATAACCACTTCTACACCCTTATACCCACCTTGACACTCCTCTTCACACCCCTCCCTCACACTTCACACGTCATGGCTCAAGGCTTGGTGTTGGGTGTGGCGGCAGATGCTGTCTGCACCATCCACTGTTACAATTTTTAACAAGTAAACGATTTATGCGCAGTCGTCCTGCGCAGCCCGCTGACGTAAACAAGAGGCCCGCCTCCGGCCCTTTCTGCCTTCTATGGATAATATTAATAGATGTCCTCGCCATCCGGATGGGAAGAGCCGCAAGGAATTAACTCCTGCAGAAGGGCAGCTACAGGTTATTTAAGCAGTCATAAGTGTCCATCGGGGGGGGGGGGTGGAAGGGAAGCCTCACGGATGGGAATATTAGCTGCTCCTGTTTGTGTTTGCTTTTGCCAAGCGCGAGGGACCAGTACCAAGTGCATTAATGACGTTGAGGATGTAATTGAGAGCTGATGATGTCTGGGTCTGAGGTCTGCCTCTTGAAGGCAACTCTTAGTTAATGTATCCGCTGAAGACGAATATGTTTGAAGATCACAAGCAAGTAACCACGTTGATAAGTAGCTTGCCCTTAATCCTAACACTAACGTTACACACTTTTGGTGAAACAAGCCAACAACTTGCATACAGCTGTTACATGATGCTCGCTACAGATCCCGGACTTTGGAGGCCAAAACTAAGGAAGGTCAGGCAACAATTATTTACCCAGAGGAGCAATTAACGCATGTAAACTCCCCTAACAGTATGTAAGCTCCTAATGTTAAACAAATTGTTTGCCACCATTTGTCTTGTAAAACATGTTAATAGAAAAATAATATCTACCGGTTCTATTTGTTCACAGATGTAGAGGGGCACGGCCGACGAATACCTATAGAGAGCGGCGCCAAGCAAGGCCAGACGTGTGAGGCTGTAACACCCAGGAAGAGAGAGCAGTGAGGTGCCAGCGTGATGAGCAGGAGGCACACCTGGCACCTGACCCCTGGCCACGATGGACAACTTCCGTAGCCTGCAGTGGCTGGCACTGGCACTATCTACCGTCAGTGTACTCTCAGGTAAGCTCCTCACCTCGCACCTGCTGAGTGATGGACTCACCCCCCCCCCTCCCCCTCCACACACAAACACATGAAATTAGGTGGTGGAAACAGAAGGCCAGACACAGGATACCGAATGGGAGATGAAGTCCTTCATAAAACGGACAGAGAGAAAGATCTAGGAGTTGATATCACATCAATCCTATCTCCTGAAGCCCACATAAAAAGAATAACATCTGCGGCGTATGTAAGGCTGGCTAACATCAGAACTGCCTTCAGGAACCTGTGCAAGGAATCATTCAGAACCTTGTATACCACATATGTAAGACCAATCCTAGAGTATGCGGCCCCATCATGGAGCCCGTACCTTGTCAAGCACAGGACGAAGCTTGAAAAAGTTCAGAGGTATGCCACTAGGCTAGTCCCAAAACTAAGAGGCATGAGTTACGAGGAAAGGCTGCGTGAAATGCACCTCACGACACTGGAAGACAGAAGAATAAGAGGAGACATAACTATCTACAAATTTCTCAGAGGAATTGAGAAGGTAGATAAACTGTTTAACACGGGTGGAATGCGAACAAGGAGGGGGCACAGGTGGAAACTGAGTACCCAAATGAGCCACAGTTTAACTCGAGCAAAAGCAAAGTGATGAAAGAAAGGCGTAGGAGGCAAGAGGCCAAACACATGGTACCAGCTGGGAGAGGAACTCCTTCAGGAGTCAGGACGAGAGAAAGATCTGGGGGTTTATACACACCAGATCTGTCCCCTGAAGCCCACATCAACAGGATAACATCAGCGGCGTATGCAAGGCTGGCAAACATAAGAACTGTCTTCCGAAACTTGTGAAAGGAATCATCTAGACCCTTGTATACCTCAATGTCAGACCAGTATTGGAATATACGGCTCCAGCGTGAAGTACACATCTAGTCAAACACAAAACGAAGTTTTGTTTAATTCGAATCCAAAATCCAATGCGGATTGAAATACGAATCCAATGCGAATCCAAAATGTATATGCAGAATAATTACCTGCATATACGAAAAGGTTCAGAGGTATGCAACAGGCTAGTCCCCGAACTAAGAGGAATGAGCTATGACGAAAGATTACTGGGACTGAACCTCACGACACTGGAAGACAGGAGAGCTCGGAGAGACATGATCACTTCCTACAAAAGTATCAGAGGAATTGACAGGGTAGATAAAAATAAACAATTTAACACGTGGCTCATGAGATAACGGGTGGTAACACGTACAAGGGGACACAGGTGGAAACTGAATACCCAAATGAGCCACTGGAACGTTAGAAAGAACTTTTTCAGTGCCAGAGTAGTTAAGAGATGGAGCATTAGGCAGGGATGTGGTGGTTATCTTCTTGAGGTTATCTTGAGGCAGACTCCATACACAGTTTCAAATGTAGATATAATAGAGCCTAGTAGGCTCAGGAATCTGTACATCAGTTGATTGACAGTTGAGAGGCGGGACCAAAGAGCCAGAGCTCAAGCCCCGAAAGCACAACTAGGTGCGTACTTAGCTAAACGAACTATGGGGTTCAGTTCCTGAACCCTTTGTGTGTGTCTGTAACCCTTTCCACCACCTTCCACGGGATGAAGTATGGGGTGCATAATAAAGAAATTGAATGAGGGCCGGTCCTTTATAGTGTTATAATTCCGAGCCCCTCGCCAGGGCCCTCGCCAGGGCCCTCGCCAGGGCCCGCGCCAGGGCTATCACCGTGGCCAGTGTCCCCGGCTATAGTGGTGGCGGCGGACCACAAGGGAGGCACTGTGGGGCCAGTAACCACGGCGGCCAGCACACAACACCTCGCCTTATTGTGTGTTATGACCAGGGTACCACCACCCACTACACATTGATATTGGCAGGGTTCTGTACCCGGCCCACAGTGGTTCTCAGGGCTTCTGTACCCGGCCCGACGTCGCTCTCAGGGCTTCTGTACTCGGCCCGACGTGGTTCTCAGAGCTTCTGTATCAGGCCTGACGTGGCTCCTAGGCTTTCTGTATCCGTCCTAAAATGGCTCTCAGAGCTTCTGTACCCGGCCTGACGTGGCTCTCAGGGCTTCTGTACCCGGCCTGACGTGGCTCTCAGGGCTTCTGTACCCGGCCTGACGTGGCTCTCAGGGCTTCTGTACCCAGCCTGACGTGGCTCTCAGGGCTTCTGTACCCGGCCTGACGTGGCTCTCAGGACTCCTGTACCCGGCCTGACGTGGCTCTCAGGACTCCTGTACCCGGCCTGACGTGGCTCTCAGGACTCCTGTACCCGGCCTGACGTGGCTCTCAGGACTCCTGTACCCGGCCTGACGTGGCTCTCAGGACTCCTGTACCCGGCCTGACGTGGCTCTCAGGACTCCTGTACCCGGCCTGACGTGGCTCTCAGGACTCCTGTACCCGGCCTGACGTGGCTCTCAGGACTCCTGTACCCGGCCTGACGTGGCTCTCAGGACTCCTGTACCCGGCCTGACGTGGCTCTCAGGACTCCTGTACCCGGCCTGACGTGGCTCTCAGGACTCCTGTACCCGGCCTGACGTGGCTCTCAGGACTCCTGTACCCGGCCTGACGTGGCTCTCAGGACTCCTGTACCCGGCCTGACGTGGCTCTCAGGACTCCTGTACCCGGCCTGACCTGGCTCTCAGGACTCCTGTACCCGGCCTGACCTGGCTCTCAGGACTCCTGTACCCGGCCTGACCTGGCTCTCAGGACTCCTGTACCCGGCCTGACCTGGCTCTCAGGACTCCTGTACCCGGCCTGACCTGGCTCTCAGGACTCCTGTACCCGGCCTGACCTGGCTCTCAGGACTCCTGTACCCGGCCTGACCTGGCTCTCAGGACTCCTGTAACCGGCCTGACCTGGCTCTCAGGACTCCTGTACCCGGCCTGACCTGGCTCTCAGGACTCCTGTACCCGGCCTGACCTGGCTCTCAGGACTCCTGTACCCGGCCTGACCTGGCTCTCAGGACTCCTGTACCCGGCCTGACCTGGCTCTCAGGACTCCTGTACCCGGCCTGACGTGGCTCTCAGGACTCCTGTACCCGGCCTGCCCTGGCTCTCAGGACTCCTGTACCCGGCCTGACCTGGCTCTCAGGACTCCTGTATCCGGCCTGACGTGGCTCCTAGGGTTTCTGTACCCGGCCTGACGTGGCTCTCAGGACTTCTGTATTGTCACTGGGAGTCGGAAGTGCCACAAACTTTAATATTTAATCTTGGCCTGGCAATGGTGCTTATCTTTGTGTTTGTGCATGCGTGCTTGTTTGCTTATGTAGGCGTGTATGTGTATTTTCCTCTTTTTGCCTGCTTGTTTGAGATTTTAGCTCTTGGACCCTGCCTTTCCAGCCGCCGATTATCTGCTGTCATAATTTCCCACCTCTTTTTTTTGCCATATCTATTTGGCCAACAATTGGCCATTCCCAGAATATAAAGACAACAGCTGTCTAACTCTCTGGTTCATGTTTACTATTGGGTGAAGCATCAGATGAACGTAAACGTTGTCAGAACTATTCTGTTCTATCGGAACGACGTTGCCCAATGTACTGCAGAACCTCTGTGTGTCCTGTGTGTATATATAATACACACACAGAAACTAGACAAACACACCCACCCCACATTAAGCTACCCAGATCAGTAATAGTAAAGGAAGCATATGCCTCAACGTAAGCAGTACATCAAGGTTATGATAAAACTCATTCCAAACACAAATAGTTCTTAAATAACAAATGGAGAATGTACATTTACAGATCCAAAAAATGCCCAAAATAAAAAACACACATATAAATACAAAAAACATTGCACAACAGTACGTGAGAAAACACTAACACAAATACCCATGCTAACTCCACACACACAACACATTGAACAATGAAATGACAAATGCATATAAATAATCTATGGGTCACAACACAAACAACTACACAACAAAAGCAGATCAGAAATCACTCTAACATCCCTGTATCAGGAATGTTACAGTGATACAGAGCGAGGACGTTAAAGTTGCAATTTCCTGAAAGCCATAGAAAGGGTGACTAAAGTACAAATGCTTTGAAGGCTATAAAACAGAACATCGATTTGTTTGCCTGTCTGTCACACATCAGAGGCCAGATGCTTGGTGCTAGCCTGATTAAACTTTGCAGGGTAACTGGTTGTTGTCAGGGTACTGTCATAGATCGGCCTCATTGCCTTCCCCTCCGCTCTCACGGTGACTTCCATGAAGTCTGTATAGATAAAATGATAACTGACAAGTCCATAGAGTTTAATTATCATTCCAGAATTCAGTTATCGTTACTTGTGGCAGGTGGCTACAGGTGACGGATATCTCAATCCTGAGCACTCCAGGTGCAAACTCTGTGAGCAGGAAATGGGGCATGAGCTTGCACACTACATCATGAATGCCCAGTTATCAGACCATTCAGACCGTTGGCATGAGGTACTTGGAGCTTTGCAATTACTCTTCTCACACTGGTGTTCTTGGGGACATCCTCATAATGCATTCAAAGTTTGCCAGTGCAGGCTACTGAACATACGGACATGTATGACTAACCATCCTGTGTAATAGGGATTTTTACCATCACGTAGCTATTTTTTTTTTTTTGACACACTGTACTTCCCTTTACAGTCTAGGGTAGCCGCACAAATGCGGATATGCCTAAATGTGTTATATATATAAAAAAAACAGATAGTGACAAATAAAACGTATGTTCTGGGAGCAGGTTTGTATCCTGGTGATTTCCAACACTTAATTGGCGCAGCATTTTTGGCTTGACCCCACGAAGAAAGTGCATAGTGAATATGGTTACAATGATGAGGATGGCCGCGTGTAGTGTAGATGGTTACAGTGATGAAGGTCATTTCTAGTAAAGATGATTAAAGTGGTGGAGACTGTGTAGTAAAGATGATCGTCGTGTGTAGTATATGTGATTTTTTTTACCTACTCTGTCTAGTAGATATTATTATTATTATTTGTTTTGTATAGAACACATAACAACGGATTTTTAAATGTTTTTAGTAAGCATTGGTTTGACAAGTGATTTACATATAAAAAGCAGTATTATATAGCTTGAATAAAGTAAAAATAGGACCTCGCACATGCAAGACCTAGTGAAGACTTCTTTTATTCCTAAGTGGTTTTCTCTCATTGTTTGATTTACGAACTGATGTGAGAGCACGTGATGACCCTCTGTGACAGGGGCGCTGGTGGCCGGGTGCAACGTGGAGACGAGGGAGGTCGGGGTGTGTCTTCACGTGTACCTTGAGAGGGACTTCCTCACTATGGAACGGATCGTCTACCCACGACGCAACGCTCAACGCCGGGACATACAGTACAACAGGTGAGACGCTGCACGACAGGTGAGACGCTGCACGACAGGCGAGATGCTGCACGACAGGCGAGACGCTGCACGACAGGTGAGACGCTGCACGACAGGTGAGACTGCACGACAGGCGAAATGCTGCACGACAGGTGAGACGCTGCACGACAGGTGAGACTGCACGACAGGCGAAATGCTGCACGACAGGTGAGACGCTGCACGACAGGTGAGACGCTGCACGACAGGCGAGACGCTGCACGACAGGTGAGACGCTGCATGACAGGCGAGACGCTGCACGACAGGTGAGACGCTGCACGACAGGCGAGACGCTGCACGACAGGTGAGACGCTGCACGACAGGCGAGACGCTGCACGACAGGCGAGACGCTGCACGACAGGTGAGACGCTGCACGACAGGTGAGACGCTGCACGACAGGCGAGACGCTGCACAACGAGACGCTGCACAACATTGTGAGTTGGAGAATGAACAGAATTAACTAGAGATCTATGATATGTACATATATTTTAACATTATTATACCAGGTCTACTTGTAGTTATCTATATATATTTCTGAAATTTGACTTGCAACTTGTGCCAAGTGAAAAGTTGGACGTACTTTTGATTTACGTAAAGAGAATCATTAAACAATATGGCTTTCTTGCAGGTACTCAGGCCCCGGGGCGCTGCGTCAGCTACCCAATTTGACTGAGCTGAACGATGCCACCCCAGAGGGCAGTGTAGGGGCGGCTGCTGGGGTGTTGAGGAGGGTTGGCATCCCAGAGGGCAGTGTAGGGTCGGATGCAGGAGTGTTGCGGAGGTATGGCAGACGCCAAACGCTTAGTGTGGCAGAAGTGGCGAAAGACAGACACAAAGACCAGCTTCTGAAGGAGGAGGACGGCTCCTGGAGTAGAGTGGGCCGCAGCGCCCCTGACAACTACGCCGTGATTGACGCCTACGGCCAGCATGGGTGGGTGGAAGGCCCCGAGCTGGAGGACTATTGCAGGTACGTCTCCGCTGCTGCTGTCCCCACCACACCAGGCGTTATATTCACTCTTGTTCCTCTGCTAAAATGTATGTTGACCAAACCACACACTAGAAAGTGAAGGGACGACGATTGATTGTTGCCGCCGAAGGCGGCTAGTTTATTGTGCACCCCATACTCATCCAGTGAGCAGTAGCGCAAAAGCATTACAGAGGGCACAAAAGGTCTTTATCAGACCTCATCTTAGATTATTACATAAACAATTTCATCTATCCTTCACACCTTATAGTTACAATGTCAGCCAGTTACAGAGAAAGTGCTATTTCAAGAGCTATATATTTACAGTAAGTCATCATACATTAATGGTAGATCTTATCGCTAATACATAATAGTTTGACCAATGGGGATATTACAGAGTCATAGGGGAGCTTCTGTTTATTATTAGTCCTCACAATACACTACTTGTTTCTGAATCTCATATGTCGTTTATGTACTGGAAGCGTAATGTGGATACAGGGCAAGGATGACGACGTTTCGGCCCTTCCTGGACCATTCTCACAATCGACTTAAGAATAGTCCAGGACGGACCGAAACGTCGTCGTCCCTTCACTTTTTAGTGTGTGGTTTGGTCAACATATTTCAGCCACGTTATTGTGACTCCTCGTCTGTAAAATATATGTATTTATCGGAAAATATTATATATATATATATTATATATATATATATATATATATATATATATATATATATATATATATATATATATATATATATATATATATGTGTGTGTGTATATATCACGAAAATAAACACGTGATTAAGAATGTGACAATGTCAGACCACGGAGGAAAATGAAACAGATTGAAATTGTTCATTTCCTTCTGAAGATGTATTTAATATACGAAAGTACTTAAGGAAATTCCTGTTTCATTTTCCTCCGTGGTCTGACATTGTCATATATATATATATATATATATATATGCGAACAAGCCTGAATGGTTCCCAGGACAATATGCAACTGAAAACTCACACCCCAGAAGTGACTCGAACCCATACTCCCAGATGCCACGCAACTGGTATGTACAAGACGCCTTAATCCACTTGACCATCACGACCGGACATAATGAGGTGATAGCCGAGGCTATTTGAACCACCCCACCGCCGGCACTCGGATAGTAATCTTGGGCATAGCATTTTACCAAATCACCTCATTCTTTGGGGCACACGTGAGGAACACAAATGCGAACAAGCCTGAATGGTCCCCAGGACAATATGCAACTGAAAACTCACACCCCAGAAGTGACTCGAACCCATACTCCCAGATGCCACGCAACTGGTATGTACAAGACGCCTTAATCCACTTGACCATCACGACCGGACATAATGAGCCTCGGCTATCACCTCATTATGTCCGGTCGTGATGGTCAAGTGGATTAAGGCGTCTTGTACATACCAGTTGCGTGGCATCTGGGAGTATGGGTTCGAGTCACTTCTGGGGTGTGAGTTTTCAGTTGCATATTGTCCTGGGGACCATTCAGGCTTGTTCGCATTTGTGTTCCTCACGTGTGCCCCAAAGAATGAGGTGATTTGGTAAAATGCTATGCCCAAGATTACTATCCGAGTGCCGGCGGTGGGGTGGTTCAAATAGCCTCGGATATCACCTCATTATGTCCGGTCGTGATGGTCAAGTGGATTAAGGCGTCTTGTACATACCAGTTGCGTGGCATCTGGGAGTATGGGTTCGAGTCACTTCTGGGGTGTGAGTTTTCAGTTATATATATATATATATATATATATATATATATATATATATATATATATATATATATATTATTAAATAAAACCGAAAAAGTAAGATTAATAATTCTAACAAATTTTCTGTATGTTTCTTATATTTCTTTTCACTGTTGATGGTAACTGAAAAATCAATTCTCCAAAATTCATTCTTATTTCTAGTCTGACACGACACTTGAACGCGTTTCGTAAAACTTATTACATTTTCAAAGACTTAAGTTTACACACACACAACTATAACTGAACAGAGTTTAAACAGCGTCGATTTTATACCTGCCTTTGGGTGAGGTGATATGTTACAACAGTTTTGGATGAAAATGAAACTGCATCATGATAACAACGTACAAGATACTGAGGGTACCAGACAAAGTGGACAAGGCCAGCCTCTAAGTTAAGAGACACCAGGACAAGAGGACACAAGTGAAAGCTAGAGTCGCAAATGAGTCGAAGCAATGTCAGGGGATTCTGGTACCCTGTACGGGTGGTCAACAAGTGGAATGTATTAAGAGAAAAAGTTGTGGAAGCAACCTCCATCCACAGGCTAATGGAGCTGAAACTCAGGTCCCTGGAAGACAGAAGAGTAAGGGGAGACATGATAACCACCTACAAAATTTTCAGGGGGAATTGACAGGGTTATCTTCTTCTTGAGGTTACCTCGAGATGATTTCGGGGCTTTAGTGTCCCCGCAGCCTGGTCCTCGACCAGGCCTCCGATGTGGGAAATTTTTACCCACTATATATAATATCTAAGAAATGTATTATTTCTATATCATATCAAAATCATTATAGAATCATTATAGATTCATTATACATCTTGATCATAGATGACAATGTCACTATGATCACGTATGCCATAGGGCCCTATAGATGCCTACGTGAATTTGTGCATGATCTCTCAATTATATAGAAGCTTCTAGAAGGATTTCTTAATTAAAAAACTATTGGAACATTAATCGATTTCCGGTAGGGATTATAAATCGAATCCTTAATAAGAATCAGTGGTACTATCAAGTACTACTTATAATCTTTAAATCCTATATCTAATTATATTATAATCACATCTTATCTCAATCATAAGTCTAGACAGTAAAAATAATCAATCAATATTCATTGAAAGCTACCCCCTCTCAAGGGAGAGGGAGGGGTTATATGACTGACAGTGTTCAGTCATATAACTGAATTTATTAAATCAGTTATATGACTGACAGTGTTCAGTCATATAACTGAATTTATTAAATCTTATCCTTGTATAAAATACAAGCTGATGTGAGATACCTGTCGGCAGGTGGACTGTGGATCTTCAATCAACCTATCAACTAATTCATTCACCCCCACCTGCCCCTTACAGCCCACAATCTGTCATTAGGAAAAGAGGAGCTAGGATTTACGACCCTAGCTAGAGATTTTAGTTGAATTAATTTGCAGACAGTAATTTTTTAATTTAGTTCAGTACAAGTCCCTGGTAGTCTCCTCTCATATCAATCTCGACAGGTTTTTCCCACATTTATGGTCCTTCGTACCTAGATAATTATTCTTAAACCTAGATAGTCTAGAAACTAGATTATATTTCAATAGCAAATAAATAAGAAAACTTGATTTTGCATTGGAATAATTTTTACATATTCTAACCTAACCTAGCTAACAGCAAATATTTATCATAGCTATATATCTAAGTAAATAAATTGTTTGCAGTGGCTTAAGCCACCATATCCATTAACTAGTAAGCATTCATAGCATACAAATACTGTTCTGTGTTAAGAAACCACAGTACTTAATTTTATCAGTGTCACAGACACAACTGCATCTTAATCATATATATACCATTATCTACCTCACTTGTGGTAACATATATACATATTTAAGTGTATTATCTAGCATTATCTCTAATCAACTGATTTTCAGAGCTGCTCTTACCATAATATTCTTTAAAACAGTGTTTTTATCACTGTAAGAGCATTTCATTACAATCTAACCATAATCAACTGTATCAAACCCTATTACAGGTAAAACCAGTAGGCATTCTACTGTATTTTATCAAACAACTATTAGGGTAACAGATCTTGTAATAACTTTGCAAAAATAGTGCCATTTACTATTTTTAAAAAATTATCACAGGATTTACTGATTCGTGCATTCGGATCACAAACCAAATTATTACAGTACTTTTGATAATTGAGCACCTACTACAACCAGATTCCAGGGAGGAAATGAAGGACGATCTTTGGAATCATTACCTAAGTAGACAGGAAAGCTCATTTATTAAAATACATTAACATTAAACATATTTATCAGAAAAAAGAAAATCTCGGAATCTCCAAAACTCGGAAAAGGTCAAAATGGCTGACAGTATTCCACCAGCAGCTGAAACATGAAATAGGAGGACACTTAATGGTCTACAAAATCATCTAACTCAACTGATTGACAAATGTCAAAAGTTGGCTAGACAATCATCTCCTGATTTAATAATTCTGAATAGCAGAGTAAAAGCAGCTGTTGATAAGTATGAACAAATCAAACGCCATGCAGAGATTTATCTAACAGAAATGGCTAATGCAAATCTAACCAAAAGAGAACTTCAGGAAATCATTGCTGAAATGGCAATGTATGAAGATAAAATCCAAGATCAACTTGATCCTTTAATCAAACAAATATCTCAAGCAGGAACCCAATCCAATGTGAGCTCATCCACTCAGCAGGGTACTGCAACTATCACACATATAGCAGCAGAGCTCCCAAAGGTACATTTACCATATTTTGAGGGCAAGGATGAAGACGATTAGGATACCTTCTGGAGAGCCTTTGATTCTATAATAAACTCCAAGGCTTCTCTCAAAAAGGCGACAAAGTTTCAATATTTGCAAGGCCAGTTACGGGGAGAGGCAAGGCAGGTCATTGCTAATTTGTCATTAACAGATGATAATTACGACCATGCCCTACAGTTGTTACAAGATAACTACAGTGATAAGGAGACTGCAATTGCCCATCTCTCATACAAATTATTGGATTTACCCTCTCCAAATAAAAGTTATGAGTCACTACAATCATTTCGATTGTCTATAGAACAATCATCAAAGCGCTCAGTACAAAAGTACCTGTAGGAAATGCAGAGTGGCTTACAAAGTTAATCATTCAAAGGAAACTTCCTAATGAGGTCATAGACAGCGTATGCACTCATTATAACACCAACATCTTATCACAGAGCCAAATCTTTGATGGACTTCGAGCTTA